CTGCAGCAGAATCTGCTTTAGGGCGCTAGAATGAGAATAGATCCCCAACTCCTGCAGCCACATGATGAAGACATCCACTCACGCTTCTGCGTCAGTTGCGTTTGGATGTTTATGAATGGATTAGTTGATACTAATAGATACTCTGCCATCAGTGTGTGGATGGGTAGGTGGGATATGTGGTCAGCTGTGTGTGATGCTGCTCTCTTTCTTTGTTGTTGACTTCTGATGTTTTGATGGTTTGATTCACAGATGCGGGAAAAGAAAAGAATGACTCTCACTTTGACCCTGTGTTTCAGACAGAGCAGTTTCCCTCTGGGTTCTGGCTGGGGGAGCAGCTCGTATGTTGGCAGGCGGGGACTACGCCTTGGCACATCTTCCCCGTCATATCGCTCTACCTGATGAGTGAAAACCACAACCAGTCCTTCAGAATCTCAATTCTACCGCAGGTAATTCACTGCATCGTCTACTGCATCTCATATTTTATTTTAAAAATGGCCTCTCCAGAGGTGGCGCTGGCCTGGTGGTTGGTGCATGCACACCATGTGCAGTGGCTTTTGCCATCTAGGCGAGTGGCCCGGGTTCAAGTCCGACCTGTGGCTCCTTTCCTGCATGTTGTTCCCCGCTCTCTCTCTCCCTGATTTCCTGCGCTGTCCACTGTCCTGTCTCTCGAATAGACGCATAAATATAGTGTCCTACTAAATACTGTGAGGGGACATGTGTTGTATTTACTCTCTAAGCTTTCAAGACACTTATTGTTATTTACTGAAAATAGTTTTTCATAAGTAAGTTGCAACTATGAGTCATGTACGTTCATTGCTATTCAGAGGTCTTAAGGTGATTTCACCGACTGCCTGTTATCTGAATACATTCAGATTTTTCATTTCCTGCGCCCCCTCACAGAAAGTCTTTCTATCCTTCAGCCGTACTCTTTCAATGGATGAAAGTCTGGCAAGGACTCACGACGAAAGAAATAATGACCACGTTTGAAAGCGAATGACCTTTGAATATATTTTTCTAAAGCCTTTCATAAATCTCTGAAAAAAGTCCTTAAACGGTTTTGATTCAAAGCCTCTCCGAGAGGCCTTGATGCGTTCTGAATGAGGAAGATCAGACTGGGAGAATTTAAAGAGAGACTCGTACATGTAAACCTGTAGGAGGCTCGTGTCCTTGGTGCTGACGGCAGAATGAAACGCTTGAAAAAAAAGATAAGACTCTCTTTGCCTTGTAATTTCAATAGCAGGTAGAACTCTGAATCCACCTGTATGGCATGTATACTGTCCCTTTGTCTCTGCAGACGAATGTGAAGATAATGAAACCAGTCAACTAGAGTAGAAGACTTGAGGTGGACGTTGACTTTTTAATCACTCAATAAGAATTAAAGTTGACCTGTTCTGATCCCCATTTCAAAACTCTCATATAGTGTTACAATGCTGCATGCTGTGCACATGTAAAGCCCAATTCACACATACTCCGTGCGCGCCGCGGGTCCGTCAGCGCCGCGCACTACGTTGTACTTAGCCTTCACTCTAGTCGATCATTGTGTTCACACAGGGCGCGCTGCGGTACGTCTCCGGCGCGTGCCACTGACGGCACTGCGCTCTGTTCCGTTTCAAATACGCAGCGTGTCTATTTTCGCCGGAGTACGCTGGAGGCACGCATCAAGCTGGACAAAATATGACAGCCCGGACAGGAAGTCAGACAAGGAAACGCACAGAGCATCCGGTCAATTTCAAAATAAAACACAATATACGGACTCGCGATCGTATTTTTCATCACTTTTATCAACATGACGTCAAAACAAAAACCGAATTAACAACAATACATCCTCAGAAAGACAAAGCAACATGTTGTTTGCATGTTTTTCTCTTTATTCCCGCGGGATCTTGTAGTTCTCCTGTGATGTGTCATGGGTGCGCTCCGCTGCGCTGACGTCCCAGGAACGGATCCAGTGTGAATGGGCGCGAGCCGTCCGACGGAGCAAAACCAGGCGCGCAAGGAGTATGTGTGAATTGCGGGTAACACTAAGTGAGTGGAACTATTTAAGCCTAAAGGCCCTAACACATCAAGGAGATCGTTGGCCGTCGGTCCTGGTTGGATATTAAATAAAAGTATTCTCTTTCGAGTTAAATCATATTCAACAAAAGTTTGGGCACTTTGACAAAGTCGTGCAACTTTTCTTCCTAATATCCTGATATTGCATTTGCAACTATGCACCTTTGATTTTCTCTCCTTTAATATATTCTCTTTTTTTTCTTGCAGCAATACCTGCGGCCAGTCGAGGATGTGGCATCGGCCCAGGAGGACTGCTATAAGTTCGCTGTGTCCCAGTCCAGTACTGGAACAGTGATGGGGGCCGTCATCATGGAGGGCTTCTATGTTGTTTTCGACCGAGAGAAGAAACGCATCGGCTTCGCTGTTAGCACGTGCCACGGTGAGGAGGAGAGGGTGGAGGGATGAGAAATAGAATCTAAAAGTTTCATGTTTTTCAGTTTAAAGAAAAGAAATAAAGATATTTATAGAAAGACGAATGTGGGATATTTCTTTTTAAAGGATTTCTCAACAAAGCACTAGATTGAAAGCTGTGTAAACATAAAGTATCCTTCCTCCTGATCTCCGTCTGTCTCATATACTAACAACCCTGTTCGCTTACCTGCAGTACATGATGAGTTTCGCACTGCCTCAGTGGGAGGACCGTTCCATGGTGTCGACCTTGAGGACTGCGGCTACAACATCCCTCAGACGGACGAGTCCACTCTGATGACCATTGCCTACATCATGGCGGGAATCTGCGCTCTCTTCATGCTGCCTCTGTGTCTCATGGTTTGCCAGTGGCGCTTCGCCCGCTGCCTCCACCCACACGGGGACTTTGCTGACGACATATCGCTCCTTAAGTGACGAAGAGGGGAAAAAGGGGACAAAAGAAGTCGCAGAGACTTCCATTTAAAACACAGAGACTTAGAAGGATTGATTTTAAAGGGATGTCAAAATACTGGTGCTGCGCTTTGAAAACCTTCTGCAGGAACATAATAAATAAAACTCACTGTGTCTACACAGAGAAACGTGCTGCCCTTAACTTTGGAGCGCATTTGATGTAAACTGGAGCCATTACTAACATGAAGGATAAAGCGGAGAAAGTAGGTGTCATCAGCGTCAACTGTAAGCCTGTTTAAGCTTCTGCTGCAGTTCAGCACGGCAAGAGGAAGTGAAGCGGGGGGGGAAAGAGGTAAAGAGAACCCGCTCTTTCTTATAAATAGTGTATAAATAGACTGGAAACATGAGCTGGATTTGGGAGTTTCAAAGATTTGTCACAGCTCCACACGGAGTGATTTTAGGGATTGGGGGGGGGGGAGGGGGAGGGGGAAATTAACGAGAAAGAAGATAATTCAAACTCTCATGGCTTAATTCACAACCTGCGCGTCATGATGGGAATCCGTCGTATAGTCGGCTCTGGTGTGATATGGTAAGATGTGACCATATCGGCGTGCGCATATATATGTGTTTGTAGATCTACTGTTTGTGGCTTGATGAATGATTGTTTGTGTGTGAGCATGCCTGTATGTGTGCACAGCTGTTAGCGTGAAGTGAAGAGTGTACGGAAAGATTTAACGAAGAATTGTACTACTGAGAATAAAAAGCATTTATGAAATTACACCATGTTGCAAATGCCAGCGACTCAAAAAATGCAATGCACAGTAAGAAAGCATAAAGAAGCTAATTTTATGGAATATAAGATTGTAACAGAATTTACTGCATAAAATGAAAAACTAAGACTACTGAACACGGTCAACACCAGATGTCACTTTCTTCTCTTGTATCGGTAGCTTGAATATAACTATTGTACAAAAACATTTGCATTCCAGAAGTACTATTTGCGCTGACACACACTCGTAAACACATGATCCTCCTGCTGCACTGATCTGATGATTTGCACATGTTACATTACATGTTAACAAACCCAGACTTGATAGGGCTTCTTTCACAAACCGACTAACCCATCACATTTTTCAACGGGGACCATATATGCTTGGACGGGGGAAGCTAGCCCAAAGTATGTTATACACTCAAGATTGCTATGTATGTGTCCAAGGGACAGTGTGTATCGTCCTTCTGCAAGTTGTAAATAGATCAACTCAGAACTGTATATTTATCTGTCAGGCGCTGGCAGCACTGTTGAACCAATAAAGTACTTATTGTAACTATGACATGGTCTGATTTTTATTTTGACGCACCAAACCTTGACCTCCAAAAACTGATGGACAGGCAACATAAACCTGAACTACAGATGGGCAATATGGACCAAACATTTTATCTCTACAATGGCGATACAGGATATATTTGCAAGATATAATTCAGTCGGCTCCTTCTCTCAGGCAAGATCCAAAGAAAGTACTGGAGCACATGAATCACTTACGGCACATTTATTTAGGTGCAAAAGCGATATTTATTTTCTTTAATTTAAGGTAAAGGATGCTTTGTACAAATTCATTAGGTTAGGAACAAATGTGCAATTTCTTTTTGGTCAATGATGAATTTCCCCACTGGGGATCAATAAAGGATTATCTTATCTTATCTTACTCTGGCTTCATACTGGGGAAAGAAACAGTGAAATATGTGTAATTCAGGAAAATGTAGAACATATTATATTATATCGTGCTTACTTAGTATGCAGCAGAGAGAGAGAGAGAGAGAGAGGTTGCAAGAGAAAATCAGAGCTGCAGGACGTGAAGGGAATATGGGAGTAATACTGGGCACAGAGGGAGAAGGGATAAGAGCTGTCAGGGGGGCTCACTTTTCCTTCTTGTATGACACGAGGTTGGCAGGCAGAATTTAAAGTATAGCTAAATGACGTGATGTTACACACTTTTGTACAGTAGGTGGATGTATGCACCTTTTAGTTGTTTGCGATCAGCAAAAAAAAAAAAAAAAAGAACCTGAGCTCTAGCTTTGGACCAATCAGGTGGCACGCACGACGTCTACGCAATTACTGTATGACGCAGAACGTAAGGCTTGTCAGTTGAGGAAGTGAAATGACTAGCTCAACGATATTCATAAACAATCGCGGGGAGCCGACGAGAACAGCACATTTAGCAGAAAGGTAAGACTTCAGGGTATTATTAACCACATTGTGGGAGGTGTATTCGACTTATTTGACTAAAGAACAGCGCTCTAAACGATTAACGTCAGTAAAACTAGCTAATAAACAAACAACAACTACAAAGCTTCGGTTCAAACTCGACTACAACTCGCTTGATATTCTGACTGTATCTCTTTGTTTCAAGTTGAAGCTGCCTCAGTTGTATTTTCTTTTATGTTCATAGCTGTAATATTTGGGTGTCATGGTGGCAGTAATAGAAAGAGGCAGAGGAGCTGACAGGGGATGAAGTGAATACAACAACAGGTCACAGAAAGAGAAACTAAAGCAGCTGAACGTCCTCAAAAGATCATGTGTCATAAAACCTGTGGTTAAAGTGAAGTCACAGAGAAAGTGAATGAACCTTTGTGGTGAACATCATCACGACGTTTCACTTTCTTTCTCATACTGTTTAGTTAAGCCAGTTGAAGAAGTGCTGCAACCAAAATAAGTATCTAAAACACCAAACTACATGATCATTTCATGTAAGTATGAAATTTACAATTAAATACATTGAGGGATTGAACTGACAGAAAAGGTGCCGGCCCAGGCTTTGGCTTATTGCCCACCCTTTAACAGAACAAACTTCACTACCAAACAAAACATTACACTACCTGAGTCACGCAAGAGGAGGAGAAACAAAAACTGAAGTTATATCAAATAAGCCGATAGTCATGTCATATGCTAATATCGGCCAATATAATTGGCCGGCCGATTGGTGGGTCGGGCTCTACCAACATTAGGTCTGATTTAACTAGCGGATTGACGACGACTCCAGCTGTCGACTGTTAGGATAGAATAGATGTTTATTTCCATTTGCACAAGAGCAGGACAGTGCAGGCACGTTGCCATTTTTGTGCTTTACAAAATATTTAGTATACAAACCAAAGAGCAGAAAAACAAATTAATCTGTAATCACAAGAAGTACACAAGAACATGTGTCCTGTTGTTATTTCAAATGTATTTGTATCTTTGTTGTGATCTGTTATTGCATCTCTACATGATTGCACTTTTCTGCTCATTGTTATTGTTGCACATCGTTTTACCCTCTCTCGGGTTTTTTTTTTGTTATTGCACTTTTTCATTTGGTTTCCATGATCAGACTTGTGCTGCACTATGTTATTGTGTCATTTGACTCCAGGTGAATGAGGTCACTGAAAGGTCATCTATCTTACATTCAGTCTAAATTTATCGGAAATAAAGCTGTGTTAAAGTAAATTAACAGATGGAAAAACCTGGTTCCTGATAGTGTCCTGAAACGGATGTAAAGGTTATCTGTACAAATAATAAATGTGCAGTGTATAACTTTTAATGTTGACTGTGATTGATATTTTTCGCTCAACACGATAACTGAAGTGTTCTGCATGTACTCAGACTCCACCAAAGAAAAGGCGAAAGTTCTCCTGAAATCTGATGATCTCGTGTCTGTTGTAGTCTAACAGTGCTACTAGAATAGCATTCATCTGTTGAAGCCACTTCACAGCGCTCATGTACAGGAGCTGTGACGTAACCACAGCGTACAGCGAGTGTGCTGCAGCCACTGCTCTCTCTGAACTGGCGTCCAGTTAGTGTGATGCTGTGAATTTAGCGAGCATCGTCCGAATGCAGCACATGGATGATAAGTAACCATGAGCTACTCATTCTCACATTGTCTTCACCACTAACAAGACTTTCTTTTCTCCCTGTGTGTCTGTTTCTGTCCCCGTGTCCAGGTTGCTCTTCAGATGAGAGGGGCTTACCTGCTTGAGCCTGCTTGTCTCCTTCAGTTGCTATGGCAACACTATATTTCCCCACATTTCTTCTCCTCATTTTCATGTCTTCCTTCTCCCTTTTACTTTTGACCCTGCTGCCCTCGGTTGCCCCATCACTTCCCTTTTCGTCACCTCCTTCTTCCTCACCTTGGTCGTCGCCCTCCTGCGGTCAGGCTCAGGCCTGGGCCGTCCGCCTCCACGCCGGACCACATCACGAGGAAGAAGATGCTGACCAGAACTCTGTGCACTTGGATGTTATAGCCAACAGGGTACAATACTTCTGTAATATATTCTGCAAATACATGTTTGCATCGAGCAGGTTGCACCCACCTGAGTATTTCCCCGAAAGTAACTTATCTTTTCGGAAACTAATTTAAGCTTTGAACAAAAATGTAATGTAAAGTACGCATAACAGCATGATGTCTTAGAAATCCATGGTCAACTTCACAGTGGCATCATCATGTCCTGGTAAAAGAACAAGAGTTTAATAGCGCACTAACCTCTTTTTGGACGTATAATTGCTCCAGATCATTTACATTTCTCTGTCACAACATTTGACATGTTTTCTTTGTGCTATTTTCAATCAGATGTGCAGTTTGAATGTTATAGAAATCATCACCTGTTTTGTTTTTTTAAATGTCACACAACGCCCCCACTCTTTAGGAAATGGAGTAGTACATGTGGTGTAGTTTTTATCATGTTATTCCTCCAAGAGAAAAACTCCATCTGTAAATGATCGCTTTGCCCCGCTCTTCTCCTGTTATTGCAAATCAGTTGACTGGTAATCCCATGCCCTGAAGAGAAACACAGAAAGAAGGGCTTGGTATAATGTCTCTGCTCTAAATAATAGCGGTGTGACGTCTCCTTCTTAAGGCCTACTTTTCATATTGTGTGTTGAAGTAAACCAGGTGTCCTCTGTCACAGCCACAGTTGCACATTAAATCTGTGGGAAAAACTCATAGGTGTAAAATGCATCTTGAAGGTTTGACAAAATCATACAACCAACTGCTTTCCTAAGACTATGCTGCTTTTTGGTGCTTCAGGTTTCTCCATAAGAGCGATTGAAGTTTCTATTGATCTGTTTAATAGGTCAGGAAAAGTTGCCAAATTTTGAGAAGCATTGTTCAGTTTGGTTTGTACCCTTTGGTTCCAGGTAGCGGAGCAGGCAGGGCTGCAGAACCAGGGCCAGATCGGACAGCTGGAAGGCCACTACCTGCTGTGTTCTGACAAGCCTGGACCTGAATCCGTGGCCGATATTTGGAGTAAGAGTGTGCACCCCAGAGACGTCCTCGCAGCTCACCCGCATGTCGTGTGGTTCTCCAAGGAGAGAGTGCTCAGCCGCTCCAAGAGATCTGTGGCCTTCAACGATCCGAACTACCCTAAACAGTGGCACCTGGTGAGAGAGTCCAGACTTCTTTCTTTCTTCATGATGATTTTAGTTTGTTTATGTTTGAGTGATAGAAAGATGCTTCATTAATCTTCTGCAAGAAGTGACGCAGTTACAGAAGCTGCAATTACATTCAAGACACGACATAAAAATGTTTCAGGTCATAAAAACAAGACAGAAAAAATACAAAAATATGTTTTTAGAACAAACAAAAATGTACAAATTATAAATAAAAGATAACTAAGAAATGTGATAAACATGTCAAGTGTGCAAAAGTATCCAGTGTGCATAGATTTGGTTTAAAATAAAACAAATAATAAATATAAGCAACGATCTAGATACAAACATACATATAAATATGAGTGGGGTGCTGATGGCCTAGCGGTTAGATTGTGTCACATGTGAACCTGGGCGTTCAAGTCTGACCTGCAATTCCTTTCTGGATCTCTCTCTCGATTTCCTGCTCGGTCTGCTCTCCAATCAAATAAAAGCAAAAATCCCAAACATAAATCTTTAAAAAAAATCTATTCATGAGCACATACAGCCATTCCTGTACCTGAGTGTGCCTTTTTGTTGTTTGTGTTCCTGCTCATGAATCAGTCTGATGGCATCTAAGGGAAAGGCCTTTATGTAACGCTAACTCCTGCACCTTGTTGAAATCCGCATGTGGCTAAACGTGTTCTGTAGAGTCAAGAAGGGCATGAAGAGGGTGTGCAGGATTTCAAAAGTGAATTGTTCTCAGCACTTAAATATAAAGACCAGTCGAGCAGGCGGCCTTATTTCCACGTTGCCATGCTGTGTTTAGATACTCCCCCTTCAGTAGTTTTAGACTTCAGTCAGCAAAAGTAACAGGTACTTTTGTTCTTTATAAGCTCAGTTTGAAACCTGACTTGTAAGTCCCCCTAAAAATGGTATATGGACTCAAGCTAGTTTAGTTCCTTTTTAGTCTTCTGACTACTCGAAGCGCTTTTACACCGCAGGTCACACCTACACATTTACACACTGATTGTAGAGGCTGCTGAGGAAAGTGACCATCAGAAGTAACTCATCCCATTCATACACATTCATAGTCCCTTGACGAAGCAGTGGGAGCAACTTGGGGTTAAGAGTCTTGCTGAAGGACACATCAGACATGGGGCTGAAAAATAAGAAACAGTAAGAATAAAATAAGAAGTAAAAAACAAACATATAAATCTTTTGTTTTTTTGCAAAACTCAATAAGGAGACTTATTAAAGCCATCAGAAAAGCTGGGAGTTTGGAAGTTGCAGAAAGGTATGTCTCTGAAGTATAGATATGATTTTCCTTTGTCCGTGCAGTACCGCCCCCCATCCCCTCCTTTTGTGTCTTGCAGAATGTCCTCATGTGATACTTTCCATCCCCCAAGCATTCACATGAAACCTTCAAAGATTTACCAGAAACTGTGTCAGGTGGTGGTTAGAGAAAGAGGAGCCACAAAAACTCTTGATCTAGTCACAGCGCACATCGAGTATTAATATGTAAACAACTGGTCAGTGTCACAATATCCAAACTCCTGGACAAATCCTTTTTGCCCGATGTGGAACATTCACCGCTGTCTGATCGAGTCACCTGGAATCATAGTTTCTCTGGCCAAGATGCAGAAAGTCAGGAGTTACCGTTTTCCACTTCGTCCTTGCTTATCACCTTAAACAACTTTTGTTTACTTCTCTATTTGCGGATGAAGGCTAGTTTAACACTGTAATTAAATAGAAAGTACTTTTCCATCACCACTCTCCTCCTATATTATTTTATTTACACAAATGATACTGTGTGCTTATTGGGCTGGGTAAAGGAGAATCAACTTGTGAGCCTAATAAATGCCTTATCACTTTCTATGCAGCAGTGCACTCTTTAGATTTTATGTTTTTAATGGCTGTTATGAAAACACCAGAGCAGAGAGGAACAACTTTTCTTGAGAAGTAATGTAGGTCTCGAAGTCTAGGATGGGGCGGCCTGGGAGTCATGCACCACACTTCAGTTTGTCCACCTTCGATACAAAAGCACTACATGTCATTCTGCTCACAAGGGAAAACTAAGATTCACAGAGCAGAGTGGTGTATATTTAACGGATGCAGTGTGGACAGCGTGATGTGCTGTTGAACACCAGAGCATGCATTTCTCTGAAGCACAAAAGATTCTTGGGTCCGTTTGAAGCTGACACTTAGAGTTATATACGGACTAAAGACTCCTGTGTCAGTGTTAGTCCCTTTCCTCCTGCTGTTCCTCCTTCTCCTCTAATAAGCTGGAAAAGAACGTTTGTCAACAGAGCTGTCGACCATGATGTCGCATCAAGTAACTTATTAAACCTAATCCTCTTAGAAAAATAAAAAGTTAAATCTGAAAGAGAACGAACCATTTTGACCGTCATCATGTTGTAGAAAAATGTATTTGCTGTGATCTATACTGCAGCCAGTGAGCAGGGGGAGCTCTAACCCTTTTGGCTTCTCTTCTCGGGAGCTGTTGTGCTGTCCATTCTTCATACAGTCTTTGAGATGGAGACTGTCACTCAGCTTAAAAACAGTTGGAAACCAACACTAGATATTTTTCTGCTACATATCGCTGGTTATTGTAAAGTGTGAGACGTCAGCTTCAGTCCCTCACTGAGTCTCCTCCTGCACGGTAAAAGATCTCACCCCTCCTCACTTTCTTATTCTTGCAGCACAACAACAAAAATAAGGGTTTGGACATCAACGTAACAGGAGTGTGGGAGCGCAACATCACCGGCCAGGGAGTCACGGTGGTGGTGGTCGATGACGGGGTGCAGCACGACCACCAGGACATCCAGCCCAACTACGTAAGTCCAGACCAAGAAAAACGTATTTACTTAATTTATCTTTTTCTTTTACATTAACATTTTTTTTTTAATCCTGTCAGAGTGCAGAGGGCAGTTACGACCTGAACTCCAATGACCCCGATCCCATGCCTCACCCGGACATCCACAGCGACAACCACCACGGGACGCGATGTGCAGGAGAGATCGCAGCCGTCCCCAACAACAGCTTCTGTGCCGTTGGGGTGGCTTACGGCAGCAAGGTGGCAGGTAAAAACAACTTTTTATTTACTTTAAAACTGCTGAAGTGTCCAAGTTTTTAAGTTCAGGTAAGTTCAGGAATCGTGCGGTTGGTTAAGCATCTCTTGCTTGTTGCTTTCTGTTCAGGTATCAGAGTCCTGGATGGTCCGTTGACTGACAGCCTGGAGGCTGTAGCCTTTAACAAGCACTACCAGGTCAACGACATCTACAGCTGCAGGTGAGAACGTTTCACTATGACATTAAAAGGTGTGATCTTCAGGTGAATATCTAAAATAAACATGGAAATTTCCCAGATGTGCACAAACATATACCATGTGTATCAATTACACAGGCCTTTGTATTAGCTATTATTCTGTAATATTGTGCTGTTTCATACTTTAGTATTGTGGAAGCCTTCTTGGATTCTGATTTTTTTTCTTCTCTCTGTTGTCTCTTAAGTTGGGGTCCAGATGATGACGGACACACTGTGGATGGACCCCATCCCCTGGGCAAGGTAAGAGAAAAGCTATATGCGTCATCCCACCTCTGCTATTCCCCTACTTCTCTCCCAAAAAGCAATCATTTCAGTCATGCAGTATATCGTCTTACTTTGCAATAAAGGTTTTTAACCTGTACTATTTTTACTTTCTACCTGGGCAATACATATATTTCCTCTTCTTTTACCTATAAAACACATATTTTTCTGGCTTTCTATATTTTATTCTGTATTCTATTTTCTGTGTTTTCCTGCAGAGGGCAGCACACATCAACTTACTTTATATTGAGAGGGGAACAGTTGTTGGAAAAAAAAAAAACATCCAGTGATTTTATTTAGTCGACTGTTTCTTTCTTTATTGTATAAAATCAAATCTTTCCTCTTTTCATGACAACATGTTATTTTTCTTCCCCTCAGGCAGCGCTGCAACATGGAGTGATCGCAGGCAGAAAAGGCTTTGGGAGTATCTTTGTGGTTGCCAGCGGCAACGGGGGTCAATACAACGACAACTGCAACTACGACGGCTACGCCAACTCCATCTACACCATCACAGTTGGTAAGCCATGAAGCCTCTCGTGTGTGCACGAGTGTGTACCTGTGAGTTTACTTGTGCTTCAGAGAAAGGACCAAGGGCCGTGGGTGTAAAAAGTGGGTGTAGGCTCTTTTGTTTCAAAAGTGAGGCCAATGTAGAAGTGCCTTGAACATCTTGTTACATTCATATTGATTCTGTGACAGCGTAATATCGGTGTCCCAGACTGTGAATTCACATTGTGTTTCGAGGTTGTGGAAGCACGGCAGGGAGCTCCACAAAGACACAAAATCAGTCGTGCACACACACTCTTTTAGTAAGACGGTACATTAGGGTTAATTACTTCATCCCCCCCATTACGCCTACGCAACATGCAGATTAAAGGCAAATGCAAAAATCGGGGCATTAATGTTCTGATTCAGAATTTCCTCTCACACGTGTGGGAGTCCACAAACCAACTGGTGACCTCATGACGCCGATTACACTTCTAATTTTTAGTCGATCGTGTGGAAATGTGGGATAAGGCCATGAATAATCATTCTGGGAGTGTGTGTGTGTGTTGCAGGAGCAGTCGATGAGAATGGGAGGATGCCCTTCTACGCTGAGGAGTGTGCGTCCATGCTGGCTGTCACTTTCAGCAGCGGAGGGAACAAGCTGAGGAGCATTGTAGGTCTCACTGGAACACACAAACACACACACAAAAACACACTCACACACACAAAGGACGAGCTACGTCCAGGAAAAAAGTGTCTTCCAGTAGCATATTTTGAATTTGGTCTAACAGAGAATCTCAGTGGTTCCAGATGTCAATACGTGGGTCGCAAGACGCCTTCCAAAAAATTAGAATAGATACAGAAAAAGTAGCAGAAAACATCCAAAGACAACATCAGATGTTTACACGAGGTCCCAAAGAATCCATTGACATTTATTTGCAGCTGTTATGACGTGTCACCATGGCAACACAGCTGTGAGGGTTGTCAGTGATTTGATCATCAAACAGCTTGACCCAGATTGTCCCTCTTTGGACTCTCAAGACTGATCCACCAGTGACCACATAAACACAAACTGGTCAAGTCCTTACCACACACTGACCTTTAGTGGATTATTCTGAAGACGCCATTTGGACTCTCCCAACAATAACAGCTGCCTTCACATGCATTTCATGAAAATGTACTCGGTCGGGAACAGAGCAATTCCTAATCATTTTAAAGTTCAGTATCGACTTGTGCGTTTGTATTTAAAGATTTCCTTGTCAAACCTTCTGCTCATTGATTGCTGATATTCCAGAGGCTAAATCCTCAATGATTTTTTAATCATTCAATGTGTGACTAAGCGGCGACCTCCTTTTCTTGAAAAATTAAGCCGATGCGGAAGTGCAAAATCCTGCTGTTCCTCGAGTGTCCACTAGAGGCTGGCTCCAGGAACACAGATAGTCACATGCATACCACAGGCAGAAAAGCAGTTTTTACAGCATAAATAAACATGTTTACAGCCTGGTACAAAAAACCAAAGGGCACACACATCACTGGCACACACTGTACACACTATAGTTAGGGGCGTAGCTGACATGATAGACATGAGGGCGCAATGTAACCGTTTGTCAGGAGGTTTAAAACCCGCCTCAGCTCCAGCTCTCAGCCTGTCGTTAGGTTGACTGAAAGTTAGAGTGAGACAGGATTTCCAGCATGGCGGTGACTGCCGATGAGCCTCCAGAGCCCCCTGCAGGAACAGATGGGTGACATCACTCAGGCTTTGTCCTTCAATATTTACAGTCTGTGTGTGTGACACACAGGAGTATTGATCAAAGATGGGAAATTTCCACAAATATTTTCCGGCCTTTAAACCTCCCACAGCTCAGATGTATTCTTTAATAATTCTTCACACTCTCACCAGGTTGAGCAGAACTGTAGGCGTGTTTTGTATTATTGTTTATGACCACAAACCTGACTTACTAATCCCCCATCCCCTTATAGAATAAATCTCCTACATCAATACAGGCTCCATCCTCACACTCCCATTTATATACATTTTAGCTATCCGACTTTTTCTTTTATTGGTTGTTATGTGTTCCTTTTCTTTCAGCTTCTTTTCATCTCTTAAAAACGGACCCCCTTTAAGCCTTTAAACTCCTGTCACACAGTCCTCTAAATGTACACAAATACTGCTGAACTCTGACTGGTGCAGAAAACTTCAGATTCTGTTTGGACACTTCAATGACATTGGCGCCTGTTTCTTTCCTCCTAGTTTAGTTACAGACAGACGTGAATACTTTGTGTTTCTTATAGCCTGTAAAGATTCTGTATAAAGTCACTTGTGAATGTATACAGCAGACTGTGTTTGGCCTCCAGCCAGGGCTTTTCCTCTTTGGAACTGTTTGTACTAAACGTAAATCTCTTCGGTTGTGTCCTTGTCACTCAGTCCTTCTGTCTGTCTCTGCAGGTGACGTCAGACTGGTCCTTGCAGCACGGGACAGGCTGTACAGACAAGCACACAGGCACATCTGCCGCCGCACCCCTGGCGGCGGGAATGGTGGCTCTAATGCTGCAGGTCCGGCCCTGCCTCAGCTGGAGAGACGTGCAGCACATAATCGCCTTCACCGCCACCAAGGTAGTCCTCATGACATTTCTGACCACACCAGTTATAAGTACATGCAGGCTGATGTAGATACTGTACTACTCTAGCTGCAGACAAAAAGTGAGCTAAACAAGTCAGAAGACAGGTATGAGATAGAGTCTGCCCCTTTCAGAAAGAAAGATTTACCCATCAGCATGGTCATTACATTCAATCTGAGTCTGAGTCTCTCTGTCCATTTCCATGACCTTTGAAAGCCAATACAAGCATGTTTTTATTCATGTGTGCCTGTATGTGTTGTCCTTATGTTTGTGTGAACAGTGTGACAGCAGTGCAGACTGGCGGGTAAACGGGGCTGGATTTAACCATAGCCCGCAGCACGGCTTTGGTCTGCTCAATGCGTGGAGACTCGTCAATGCTGCCAAGGTATGTGCAGTAATACACATCATCTAATATCTCTTTTAGCATGTGTAGCTCCTGTAAGGAACTTTCAGTTTACATTGATTTTGGTGCCCCCTGTGGACAAATGGGCACATCTCATGTCTTTGCTGATATCGTCGAGTTTGTTCCAAATATATCCTCTGGAAATATCTGGAGTCACGACTGTCTACAATGAGTGAGAAGCTCGAGTCCCGCTAGTGTTGTTGTCAGAGCCGTGTTTACATGGACGGACGGCCGGCTCCTCCCCTTGTGTATAAAAGGTGTTTTAGTCAAGGACTAGAGAGAAGAAGAAGAACATACTCACTGATTATTTGGATGACGAGTAAGAGTTTTTTGATCATGGTCATTCAATGTATGTGCAATGTGAAGCTACGAGTTAACTAAAGAGTGCTAACATTAACATGCTAACACAACAATGCAGAACACAGACAATTTCAGCTCGAGGCAAGGACAATGTTGTCCACCGCTTGCACTTGACTCCTTCATGCTAACGTAAAGGGAGGGGCTTTGGAGGTGTGTTGCTGGAGAAGAGCGGAGGCTTCCATATGGACGAGGTGTGGCCAAACTGCAGTTTGTTTTGGTTTCATGCAGGAGCTCAAGGGCGACATCTACTGTCTTTTTCATGCTCATGTCCCTTTTGTACTTTTGGAGCATATAAAAAGGCCTTAATATTCATTTCAGTCTGTTTCATAACCAACTAAAATCTCCTCACAGAAGTGTTTTTAGTTAATGATCTCGTCCAGGTATTTGCACTTACACTTTAAGTTACAGCCTGAAATGACCCCCTTTTCTGTCTCTCAGGTTTGGGAGTCTGTGCCGTTCCTGGTGTCCTATCAGAGCTCAGTGATAAAGGAGGAAGCAGCCATCCCGACATATCCTGACCAGCTGATCCGTACCTGGAAAGGTAACTCTATCTGCTCCTCTCTCACTCGCAGCTCTGTATTTGACTGCTGCCTGTCCTGTTTACATACTGCACTACGTAGCTCCCCTCCCTCCCTCACTCCCTCCCGCCCTGCCTGCTCCTCAGTCAGGCCGCCTCTCCTTATTAGGTAATGTTCTCCTTTTTGTGAGTCCCCACATCAGCATTGAAAATACTGTCTGAGATTCTTCTTCATGGCCTGCGTTTATTTTTTCCTTCTTTTTTCTTCTGAAATCTCTATTTTACATCTCGTCTCACTTACTTATGTTTCCTTTTTCACATCTCACCGCCATGATTCACTGATTATCCACCGTCTGTGAATTTGATCCATTTCTTCTTTTTCCTCGCACACTCTTTCACAAGCTTTCCCTTCTCCCTCCTCGATCTGTATCTTTTCTTTTTTTTTTTTTAATGGCCTCCTCCCAGACAGGAGCACGGCCAGAGTGAAGAGTGTGTGGTCTCATGCATGGAAGGAGCAAAGACTATCTTAACTAAGAATAAAACTAAACCCTCAGTATTTTCTGAAAGGTTCAGGTCTGCCTGTCACATTTGCTACACTTTACAACAGTGTTTGTTTTTGTAGTTTTGTAGTTTCTATGTGTTGTCTTAATTTCTTCAGACTGCTGTCATCCCATGCAAAATGAATCGTTACAGCTATACGAGCTATCGCAGTAAATAAGAAGCATGATTTTATGCACACAAGCGATGCTTATATTGTCCTCCAAGTGTGTAACTTTACATGCTGCCATTAAACAAGAAAAAGAGGCATGACATGGCTTTTATAAAATTTGTCAGAGTCAGACATACACTACTAACTTACACATTTGATTAATTAACATTTTTATAGCCTGAGCGATTAATCATCCAGCTGATAATTTGGGCCGATTTTAGCATATCAAGTGACCATCTGCGATATGGGCCTATATTATTAGATTTATTCACCAGTCAAATAGCATTTAATTTGACTTTCATTGTAATAAACTAGCAGTTCTCTTTCTGGCTGTCACCAGCAGAGTGCGCTCTGAGGGTCAGTCTTTTTGAATCTTTTGACTTTTTGTCAGACTTCCTGTTGTTTTCAACCACAGCTGGAGGGAAAGGCTGCCTCAGCTGGGTGGTTGCAGATTTAGCTGACATCAGTTTGTGTGCTTTGTAGGGTGGGGGAGAGATTTATAAACGATGCTAATGTTAGTTTCAATAGTTTAATAAATCAGATTAATAACCGATAAAAACAATACACACAAATGACAGTAACGTGCAGCACAACACGTGGAGAAAAACGGCTCTTCAAACGCTGTCAGTCATAAAAGACGAGTATTAATCAAAGGTTGTAACGTCTCGTTTGGAACAGCTGGGCACCACGCTACCTTACTAGTACCTGTGTAGCATGCTACGCTACGTGCCGTTAATATCGGCTAATATCGTTTTTAGCTGTAGTTGTATGTTCTTTCCTTTTCCCCGTGTCTTCACCCCTTAACACTCAGTCTCCACTTGTCCTGACCCCCCCACCCACACACACACACACACACACACACACACACACACACACACACACACACACACACACACACACACACACACACACACACACACACACACACACACACACACACCCACCCACACACCCCTGTGTCCCCTGACGATGTGTCCTTCCCACCACACCTCTGTTTACACTCCTCGCTCTCTCTGCCCCCGGGATGTGCGCAGCCCTACATGGTCAGAGAGCTCCACGGCTCATTAGTAATCAGTCTAGGAAATAACAGACACTCGGAGGGCGTGAGGTGGGCTGGAAGACGGTTAATGGTCTCAAGAACAGAAAGTGAAAAAGAAACATCCAGGATTAGAATTTATATGATATTACGTTGATGACACTTGATTTAATCCGTATCAAATGAGGAAATGGTCAAACACACACACATACATTCAGACACTCAGCATCTCCCTCCTCTCCTTCAGTCTCGTCTGCCGATCTGAAACATTCCGGGATGGAGACGCTGGAGCATGTCGCTGTTACCGTGACAATAAACCACCCTTGTCGTGGAAACGTGGAAGTCGTGTTAGTTTGCCCCAGTGGAATGACTTCAGTCATCGGGGCACGCCGTGCCATTGACAGGTACAGACACACACATGTAAACCTGAGCCTACATGTCATTATCAGAACAAAAAAAAGTGACGACAGTTTGTTAATTCAGTGTTTAAATTGAAACCATAATTCAAACTGCCAGCAGCACTGAAGCAAAATGTAATACACAGACTCTGAGACAACTGGGCTAACAAATTAACACGTGTTTTCTCTCCTTGACAGAGACCCTGCAGGCTACCAGGACTGGACTTTCTCCACTGTGCGCTGCTGGGGAGAGAGAGCTGAAGGCCTGTACACGCTCAAGATATCAGACCACAGTAAGGCACCCTTCACTAACTCACACTGTTGAAAGAAAAAACTGTGCACACCTTCCCTGTCCACACTGACCCTCCTCTCTGCTCCTGCAGAAGAGCCGACGTCTCTGCAGTGTGCCGCCGCGGGAGTGTTGAAGCAGTGGGCGTTGACCCTGTATGGTTCTTCGATGACCTTCAGCGAGGTCAAGGACAGACAGATGTAAGACTCTACAGGCGTGTTGTGTTGCCATATGGATACTGTTAGATCATTTTTATTTTCTATGTGGTTTGACTTGTGCATTAAAAGTTTTTTGTTAGAAGTTAGATGACAAAATAAGCTGAGGACAAATTAAATTTTTGACAATCCGTTGTTTAAGTCATTGCGGGTGTTTTTCATGCTGTGTGTGGACATCATTTTCCTGAGTTCATTTGTTGCAGAGTCAACCATCTTGCATTCGTACTATCTCTGCTGGGAGAAATACAACTTAAAAACAGCAGCCGATGCAACATCATCACATCCTAAAACTCCCTAAGTCAGAGAGTACAGGGGAGAGCTATGTGTCTGCTCCAGGTCGGATGTTGAAGCTAACTTTGGGGCTAACTCCCTTCACTCTAACTCATCAGCAGCGAGCAGACTCAGGAGCCCGGCTTGAGTCTTGAAAACGTAGTTTAACTGGGTTAAAATAACAGATTAAATGGCTCTGTTTGGAGTTAGCATGCTCATGTGTTTGAACTGAAATCCAGTCCCTGTAACTTTAAAAGAACAATAATAATGATTGATGAAACGTCTCGATTGTGAAAACTAGATAAATGTTCTGTGTGTTGATTGACAGGCTGGTGGAGGAAGCAATGAGTGGCAAGTATCTGGACAGCAGCTTCTCTCTGCCCTGCCCACCAGGCCTGGATATCCCTCCAGAGATAGTCAGCCCATTCACCTCCAACAGCCTCAAGGTAAGCTGCACATGACACTCCCTCTACTTGTCCTCTTTCCTAGTCTTTTCTGCTGCTGTTTTTTCTTCTCACGTCAAGCTATTAGTGAATAAGAGAATCCAGTTCTCCTGATGTTTTTATGTTCTTAACCTCCTCTCACTCTCTCCCTTTCCTCCCTCCCTCCAGTTCCTGCTGTTATTGGGCTGCTTTGCTCTCTTCTGGTCTCTCTACTACACAGTGGAGGTCATATTGGCCCACCTGTACTTCCGAGGCATTTTCTGCCCGAGCAGGAGGCGGGGCGCTCCCCGGAACAAGCGGGGACACAGAGGGAGAGGAGTGGAGGAGGCCATAGTCGAGGAGGGTAGCCAGGAGGAAGACGGGGACTCCGGGGTGGAGTTGCAAGCGGTGCTGGACTCCGAGGCTGTGTCTCTTTTAAATGGAGAGCGGCCTGCAACATAGCACTGAGCCAGATTGTTGTGCTGTTGTTGCATCTCAGGCTTGAACCCACTACTCCCCATCCACCCAGCCTACTTATACTGCCTCTGGCCCCAGTCTACCTTACCTGATGTGGTGGAGGGGTCACAGTCTGGTCTGCAGACTACTTTGACTGTGGAGTTGGGTATTTATCCTTGTCTGCATTCTCCAAAAATGTGGCCTTGTTTGAAAATTTATTTTTCTGCTATGACAGTAATCGCAGGACTGCGTGCATGCTTTCACACTCCCATCCCTCTTACTTTAGTTTTTATAAGGAGAGAAGTGATGAGGGAATCCTCCAAAGTGAAGACACTTATCAGACCTTTAGCTTAAAGGCAGGGTTGGTCATTTTCGAACACTAGCATGATTTTGAAAGTAGCATTCCCTCAGTGCTCCGTCTGCACCCACCCCCTCCCCTCTGTGCTCCATCAAAAGCCACACCCCTCACTTACATGCACGAGCGCCTCTGCTCCAGAAGCGGTTAGAACGAGCAGGGAGACAGGGAGGCGTCTGATTGGTTCATCAGATTGGTATCTCGTTGCAGACATTGGTCAAAGTTTTTACAGACTTACAACTGATACAGACGACGGATTTTCAGAGCACATAAGTTATTAATTTCTGTCAGGACCTAAAGACAATTTCAACCAAAACTTAAAAAGTGTATCGGGAGAAAATTACCAACCCTGCCTTTAAAGGGGAGGGATTTAATTTCCAATCAGGATAAGGTTTAGATATAGAAAGGTCAGACATCCTTGGAGAGGTATCTAAAACGGTTTAGTGTTTAGTGTGTAAACAGGTGTGTCTTGTATGTGAATATGAACCTTACAAAAAACTGAAGTATCAGTTTGGTGGGACTTTACAGACACCTGTGGGGGGGCTGAATCCGGGGTAGGATGATAAAATGATGTGCACTAGAGAACGGTTTCAAATCTGCTGTGTGTACACTACTGAGTGCGTGTGAATTGTGTGTGTGTGTGTGTGTGTGTGTGTGTGTGTGTGTGTGTGTGTGTGTGTGTGTGTGTGTGTGTGTGTGTGTGTGTGTGTGTGTGTGTGTGTGTGTGTGTGTGTGTGTGTGTGTGTGTGTGTGTGTGTGTGTGTGTGTGTGTGTGTGTGTGTGTGTGTGTGTGTGTGTGTGTGTGTGTGTGTGTGTGTGTGTGATATGAGCGAGTGAGCTTGAAATATGCAACGTCTTCCATGAAAAAGCGCCCTCCCATGTGAGGAGGGTGCTGATGTATTTAAGGGAAAAGATTTATTTTCTGAGGTGTTTTTTTATGCATTTTCTTTTCTCTCTTTTTTTACTGTTTGGGGTTTATTATTATTATTATTATTATCTTTGGGTTTTCAAACCAACTACTGATAAAAACTTGAAGTGGGGTTTTCAAGTGCAGTACTTGTACAAGTATTTTTATAAGAAGTGTAATATATACAAGCTGTGTTCCTGCTGTACAGATCTAAACTGTGTTCATTGATTTCTACAAAGTGTTTTTAAAGGATGTATTAAAGAGTTCTATTTTTATGTGACGGAGTGTTTGGGCTGAATTTGGAAACTGTGTTTTGCTGTGCAAGTCGCAGGTGATCTGAATGGTAATAAAATCATCATTTTGTGAAGCTGAACGTGTTTGTTGGCTGTAATCAAATGTTTTTGACCCTGCAGGCGTCAATAAAACGCTGGCCTTTAATGTGGTGCAGTGGTTAGCGCTGTCACCTCACAGCAAGGAGGTTAGTGGTTTGAATCCCCATCAGACAGGAGGAGCCTCTCTAAGTGAAGACATGCTTGTTAGGTTAACTGGTGACTCTAAATTGCCCGCAGGTGTGGCTGGTTGTCTGTCTCTATTGCTGCATCAGTCCGTCAGTCCATCCGTCTGACTTCAGTCTGTTGTCACGATTTCAGCTCTGAAAGTCTGAATGTTGTAACAGCAGCAAGTAACAGCGTTGGTGCAACAAAGAAGGTCATTGTTACAAGTTATATTCGAGTGATGTTGATGAGCAATACATAAAAAGTTTGTTAACATTTATAAAACATATTTTGCCTCCCATGTGATGACAATTCTGACGGGAAGTCGGGAACCTCATTCTTTTCTGAGTTTACGAGTTGTTGTTCTGACTTGAGCAGGCGTTCATGTGCATTTTACAACTCGGAAACTTGTTTTTCCGATGTGTCCAACACCACATGAATGCACCATAAATGTCAGTCCAGCATGTAAAGTACTTCTCACCCAGTGACAGCTGGGATCGGCTCCACCCCAGCCACGGCCCCTTTCCTTTATCTGTCGAAAAATGCTGCAACACCAGGCTAGTATAAGCTTTAAATTGATGTGTTCTTTTATTTGAACTTTTTCCAGTAATTGCAAAAAAATTCTGTCAAGCACAACTGATCTACAGCTACTGCAGCTGCATCATTGTTTGGCAGTAGAATGGATGAAGCTGTTCTTTTAACTGAGCCAACATGTTAATGTTATAGTGATACTGAGTAAGCCAGGTTAAGCTAACCATAGTTATCACCTTAGATTACCCTGTCATTTGGCATTAAGAAATAACATTCAGCTGATCTGAATAGGAATGTCATTAGATAATTAAATCAGAAATTAAAGGAAGTGACGGTGCGTTCCGTTTACCTCGTATGTAAGGCAGGAATGAGGTTACAACCGACTGAACCACATTCCAGTCAGGAAAGCAACATGGACGCCTCCAGGAGTACCTTTGTTTTGTTAGCTCATGCCAGGCGATAACAACACACTACGTGCTGTAATGTGTGTGAATGCAACATGACAACATGTCCACAGATAGAACTTGCATGATACTCTCGGTGTGATTGATTAAATTACACAAAAACAAGACTAAGTTGCTAATAAACACTCTAATGTACAGCTAATACTTTACTGTTGATGCATGGAGCAGCCATGTTGGATTTCAAGCTTGGGTTACTAAAGTTTCCAAAAGTCTGAGTTACGACTTTAGGGAGCGTTTCTGATGATGTATACGACTAACAGCTAGGAATTTCTGCCTGAGATCCCATGGGATGCACCATTAGGAGCAACAGGTGTGTGCATGGACACAGGTTTGTGGTTTATCCCAGTATGGGTGACACACTTCATCCTTTTTTTTTTTAATGTTGGTGAAGGACCAATCCAGTGTACAAACTATGAAACCCAATCTTCCAATTTCCCAGAATCACAGAGTCAAATCCAGAGAGGTTTTTCAAAGTCATTATTTAATAAGACAATGTACAAAAAATATTGGCGCTGATACAGCAGGCAAAGCATTGTGGGAAGTGGTAGACGAAACGTGCCAGATAAAACTGGTTAGGTATTTCTTTAGCCTAATAGGAATACTGTTCCTGTGGAAGGAACAGCTCAACGTTGGCACATGATCACGTTGGTGTTTTAACCTCCAATCAATGCATTAGTCATTTCAAAGTTCTATTTTCAATCAGGACTACAAAATTATGTTGTACTGGTCCGAGCTAGAGGGGAAAGGACTCAGGGTTGTGAGCTCTGGTCTGAGCAGTGAAAACTAGTGCAAGCGTCTACATGAAATGAAGAGGGTCAGTGTCAGGAGGTAGGGGGCACTTGTAAAAAGTAACTAAACTCTAATGCAGGGAAGGTTTTCTGATAAAAGGGGAGTTAAGAAAACCAGTTTGAAGCTTACAGGCTCTAACAAGGTGTGAGGGGTGGAAGGGTTTTTTTTTCTGGTAAGTGTTGCACAGTGGTTTACAGGATCTGTCGGGGTCTTCCATAACTCATGCCCTCCTGACTGGCTCCCCTATTGGTCCCCATCTGTAGGCCAATCACATTTTTGCCTGCTTTCAGTTGGTCATCGCTGAAGTCTCGCTTGTTCTCCTGCGCTTTTCTGCAACACATTATTGAAAATGCCATTTAATGGAAAACAAGAAACAAATCCGTGTTTTATAGACACTTCACATTTAATGCCTCAGACTCACTTGAAGAACCAGTTGGGGTCTCCATTATATGTGCCTTCATCCTTAGTCACGGCCAAGCTACCCAGAGCTGACAGGGTCCTCTGCACCGCCGCAAGGTCCTTACCTGCACCGAGTCACACATAAAGCAAAGATTATTACAATAGGAATCATAGATCCATTATCTATAAATCTATTCCCATTCAAGGTCGTGAGGGGGCTGGAGTCGCTACAAGCTGTCATTGGGTGAAAGGTGGGGTACACCCTGGACTGGTCACCGGTAGTCACAGGGCTGACATATAGAGACAGACAGCCACACTCACATTCACACCTATGGACAATTTTAGAGTCACCGATTTGGACTGTGGGAGGAAGCCAGAGTACCCAGAGGGATCCCACCAGTAACTGGGAGAACATGCAAACGAACAGCAAGCCTGACTGCATATATATAAAGCTATTTGCAATGACTACAAGTAGCTAGTTAGATTTTTCTATAACTCCTGCTGAGACTGAAAACCTGCTGCCCAATGAGGATCGCCAACCGCAAGGAACAATTTGTTTTTCAACCAAATGTTGAAGTATAAGCCAGGGTTAAAGCTCACTTAGTGTCTACATGATTACTTTTTTTAAATTGAGTTTCCAGCAGCATTCATCCCGATATAAAGTAAGACCATCAAAACCTTCTAACCTTCCCAAAGGTCCACTGTCTGGAACATGTCAGTCTTGGTGACGCCATACTTCTCTGCAGCATTGAGGAACTGTGAGATCTGCTCCATCTGTTTGAAGGCCATGGTTGAGCTTTGAATCTTCTTCACAGGTTTGTCTGCAGTGTACAGACTGTTTATCAGCTCGCTCAGAACCTAAAGAGAAGTTACAGAAGTAGAAGAAGAAGAAAGGAAAGGCATTACAAAAAGATCGCTAACTCGTTGGATAGCCCAGGAGGCCTTGTCCATCTTCGTAGCTCCCCAAACCTTCAGCGAGGTGATCAGGGACTACTACCACCCTGACGCCCAGCCACCACCATCACTGTGTCGTCCCCACAACCACCGCCGTCCTCATTCATGCACGGCCTGCTCCGACCTCCACCTCAGCGGCGAGGAAGTGTGGACAACAGGAATGTGAAGAATACAAAGGAGAAATCCTTCCTGCAACTTATCCCATCTCCCCCTATCCCAAGAAATAAGGATTTAAAAAAGACATGTGGCACTCACACAGCCGTCTTTCAGCCAAGACTGGAATCCCATTTTGCCCGTCTCTGGCTTCCCAACACCGGAGCCACACTGACGGCTGATCCACTCCACCAGGATCAGCTCCAGCTCGGGGTCGTACTTACTGTCGATCTTATCCTGAACCTGCCGGCTCATGCCATAGGATGGACCTTTGTTAGCCATGCCGACTCCCTGAGAGATTGCAATGAAACAGAGGAAGGGTGGGCGAGGGGGATTTAACAGGAGAGATGGATAGGAAACACAGAAGACAACAGAATTAAAGGAAAGAATCAAAAACAGTGTTACAAAATGTTTACTAGTGTAAAATCTAACAGAAGGAATAAGGTTGGATTTTCTCTGGTCTCATCCTCATCGCCCACCTTGGCAACAAACAACAGCGTTAATATCAATGTCAAAATCAAAGTTTATGCTTGTAACCGTTATGCAGAAGCATGCACAGACGTGTGAAGGTTAACGCATATTTACAGATCTTGTTCGTAATATATTCACCAACATAAACACTGAAGACATGCATGTACAAAGCGTGTATATAGCATACATTTTCAGCATTTCATTTTAAATACCTTTTCCCAGAAAAACCACATTGACAGCATTGTGTCTCCTAGTGCACACCATTTAGCCTTACAAGGACCTGAGTCTCTGTGTCCGAGGCAAAGTGGTGTACAATGGGAGCTCTATACCAGCAAGCTCATATTTTGCATATTTTTGTCCTTAACCCCCACACACACACACACACACACACACACACACACACACACACACACACACACACACACACACACACACACACACACACACACACACACACACACACACACACACACACAAACACACACTCGCTCCCTCTCGGTCTCTGTCAACACATTGCCTCATATCATTGCCAGCATTTTTTTTTGTCTGTATTGCCTTTGGGCCAACAGCCAAGTGCAAAAAACCCAAAACAAAGTGCTGTCTGCACCATCCAACCTTTGTTGCCATGTCGATGTCAGGTCACTTCAGCTTCCTGTTCCTGGGGAGGTTTAAAGTTAAAATGTTAGAGGTATTAAACCCCCATGAGTTGAGTGAAGGAGGATTGTCTCTGTTGTCGCCATGGAGAACAATAAAGTCATGTTTGGGAACAATACACAGCCGCTTTTATTGTCTTGGTGGGTAAATAGAGGTCACTGAATCCAAAATGTCGCAATTGACCATGAGTTGCACCATGAGTGGAGGTCCTGTGTTTCAAGATGATCTCGTTCTTCACATTTTCAAAACACCTTCTGCTAATAACCATAGATTGAATGGATGCAGTTTCAGTGGTGTCACCCACTGGCTTCTAAAGACGCTTTATAAACACGATCAATGGTGGCCGCTAACTAACTTCTGGCTCTAGAAACAGGAAAAGAGGTGTAGATGTGACGGGAAAAATTAACGTCTGGATTACAGAAACTTGTGCATGTACTGTAGCACTTCTAGTCTCTCCTGTGATCTTGCTTGCAAAGTTCAAACGATGAAAAAAACACAAACAGAGCCAAGAGTATTAGGTCAGAAACAGGATTTTGCTGAAGTGTGGCTGTAAAAGTAAGAATTTGTATATGGCATCTAATCAATCGGCAACTTCCACTATTGAAGTACGAGTATGCAGAAGTGCAAAAAACTTCAGTTCTCTGAGTGTCCACTTGAGGCTGGCTGCAAAAGCAAAGGACTCTCCATCAGTCCCAAATTATCTGAAACATGGCCCACGTTTAGTTTGGACTTCCAGCATTGTAACACTATAAAAAATATATATTTTCTAAATAAACACAACATAGCTGAATGTATGCACATGACATTCTTGACTGCACTCAATGCAAGTTGTGTACTTAGTCCACAACTGTTCATTGTCTGATGTTATTTCTGCCTGATGTAGCCTGTTGTTTGTTCTTTGTAGGAATTTTTCATGCTGCAGCCTCAGCCAGGACCCCCCTTGTTGAAGAGATTTCGATTGTCAATGGGAATATTCCTAGTAAAATGGAGGCTAAAGAGAATATGAAACTTTTGGTGTAGCTATTGAGTTTTATTTCTGATTGTGTGCATATTCATATTCATATACAGGCCAGCAGCGTTTATGGATCTCTGCCCAGAGCGTCTGCAGAGTGTTACCGCCAGCCTTGTTTAATATTCTCTTCATTCCCTGCGGTGCTTTTCCAGACCACAAGAAACCAAACACACATGCTGGGCAACATGCTCACTTACATACAACCACATATTCAGACACTATATTTACTCCTCATCTGTCTGCACACACACACACACACACACACACACACACACACACACACACACACACACACACACACACACACACACACACACACACACACACACGATTACCCCTTGTTACTCTGGCTGACATGAGTCATTGTATAATTGTTATTACAGAAAGATGTTTGTCTGGTATTCCAGTACAGTAACTCTCCCTTTTTTCCATTGGCCTCTAACTCCTCGCCTCATAAAGTATTCTCTGCTGGACCACAACTGCAAATCACACGCATTATGCTCTCTGTAGGGGCAGAAATACAAGCTGCGTTGACCACATTGTGCACCCAATGACTTCTCCTGAGTGAATGTGAAGAAGTGAAATGTGTATTTGTATTAGTTTGTGTGTCCGTTTACCAGTGGTGGAGAAAGTACACCACTTCATGACTTCTCAAATCAAAGTATAGATCCTCCTGGTCAAAAATAAAACTACTCTGATTAAAAACATTGTTGTAGTTTCACGATGCATGAGTGCAGTCAAGAGTAGGAGCAACCAAAAATACCGGATGAGCTGATGGGAAAATGTCAGCTTACCTTCACACAGAGAGAAAGCATTCACATTTCAAAGATATGGCCATGAGTTCTCAGTTGGAGAATTGTTATCCATCTCTGCCGCAGCCATGATAACCGCCTCTAAATGAACCGCCTGATCGGAGTAACCTTTGCCCTGACTTTGCTCTACATTTAACCATAAAGATGCAAAACGTAGAGGTACTGCAACACAGCTTAGAGCCTTAGACAAACCATGCATTGAACTCCAGGGACACAGTTTGTTGTCTTTCGGATCAGATTTTAGAAAAGGAAATTAAATTCATCAGCTGACTTCAGAGCGGAAGTAGCGAGAGTCCAAAGTACTATATTTGTCTTACTATAAAAGTCACAAGTTTCCCCCAAAAAATAATTCTCAGGTAAAAGGCTTCTAAAAGGTCTGCAATAAAAATAATATAAATATCCATGTATAAAGTCTGCCCCTGTACCTTTAACAGCCCATTGAGCTCATTTAAATCCATTGATAAGCGTAATTACATTAAAGCTCCTGTGAGGAGTCTTTAGGTGGTTCTGAAAGAAGACTGAAGGTCATACTTGTGGCCTACAAAGACAAACGGGACCATCAGTGACATGATCGATCATGTCTGCATTAAATGCCTATAACTTATTTCTGAAAGGAGGAGGAGTCAGATGAGTAGGTTAACAGTGAGCTGCAGTAACAGCCTTTGTTCAGGACACTATCAAAAACCAAAGAGATGAGAGGTACTGCTTTGTCCACGGGGGGGCGCCAAAATTGACACAAGCGGTAAGTTACTTATAGGAGCTTTAAGGAGATACAAGTTGCATGTAGACTAGTTTAGTTTTTTTGTTTACTTGAATCAGGGCCAGTAACCGTCTGAGAAGAGAAAAGATGCTTTGTACCAGATTTAGCTAACAGGTTATAACCCCTTTTATCGTTTTATTCCGTGTAGTGTGTCCTATAGTGAACAACAATCAAGCCCACATCTGGGACCCCTCTAGACCTCCTGACAGAAAGTCTTACATGTTTGATTTTTTTGTCTGCTCTCTATGATGCGTTCCCTCATGTCAGTGATGTTGACCAATGAGAGCACAGAGCACTCTGCTCACCTTAAAGTCACAAGTTTTAAAAAATGGCCGAGCTCTATCGAGAGTTTTTGTTTGTCCGTTCACAGTCCTCTTTCCAGGTGTTGCCTAGCCGCGCCCCTCTTCCTTAAAACGTCACCACGTCGGTCCTGATGATTTGGTACCGTGTAGTCCGTCATGTATGTCGATCAAGTCAAATGTATGACTCGTTGAACGCCTGATCTGACACAGAAACCATCGTACAGTAACAGACAAAATGACCGTGGTCTGATCTGTCTCAATATTTTTTTGAGATTCAATGAAAAACTGCAGGAAGCATGCATAAAAATAATGACGCTGAATATGAATTATAACCAGTACCTCACATAAAGGCAAATGCGGAGATGGAAAAAAGTCCCATATTTCAAAAGAGAGCCTTTTTCCTCCTCTACCATGACATCATCATCTCCGTCCCATTCATCCATTCTCCTCTCCCAGTTGTGTTTTCCCTGCTCTGTTTCTCTATCGCCATGGTAACCCTGCCTCACGCCAGCACAGGAAACCAGTATGAGGGTTGTGGCATCCGTTGAAGTCTGAGAGCACATGGCGTCATGCAGCCTCACCCTCACCCTCCGCCGTTAACCAGCTAACCACCGTGTAATGACCCTGGTCTGCATGAACTACCAGGGACTTATTAGTGTTAAGCTTTTAATCTTAAGAGTCTGTCGGGTGTTATAATGAGTTATTACGTGGCTTATTCTTGGTTACTGTGTTGATTTGACGCACTTCCAGCTTGCTGATGTTCTTGAGGCTGACTACATCCTCACAGTGAATAACGGTTTCTTGTCTTCTTGACTTGATGTGATTTATGCCAGCAGCACAGAAATCTGCTGTTTTTCTTGGACTCAACTGAGCTCTGAAAGTAGCTTTAGAAACTGCTGACAAGGTCCTGATAATTCTGTGAAACCATAGAGGTGGGGTGGGCAACTGCTGGCCTGGGAGCCACATGCAGCCCCCATCAACCTTCAACGTGGCCCTCAGGTCAATGTTTACATATCAATTAATTGGAAACATGAAGAAAACATGATGAAATCTGCCTTGAAATCATGAAAACCAGAAATATGTCCATACTAATATTTGATCACTGGTATATGTTGAGTTAAATTTGAGACATAATTGACTTTAATTCTTTTTGTATACTACAGTTTCGCCCCCTGGTAGTGAGAATTTAATGAATGTGGCCCTTGCTGTGACCAAATTTGCCCATCCATGCCGTAGAGCCAATGAGCGGCTGCACTGCTGAAGTTCAACTATATCTTCTGTCTAAATGGGTCTTTTTTTAATCTCATTCCATATCATTTGGGCTTCACTGTTACGTCAAAGTGATTTGTTCCTGGACTTGTACTGCTGTGTTTGTGCGCTGCCACTGGATTGGCAGGAGAGATAGTGTTATCTGCTCCTGTTGCTGCTGCCCAGAAGCTGCTGGTGCTTCCACTTTGATACTCCTATTCCAGTAATGTACTTCCTATCTTTAAGCTAAACAAGTAGGAAAGCGTTGCAGGAATATTCTTAACCACTATGCTCTGTAACAAAGAGGGGACGTCTCTGCCAATGCATTGGCCTTTCTGTGAATATATATTTCTTTAATGTTTCCGTCAGCATCTTTGCCCTCATGAGGGAGTGTGCCTGTCTTTTGCATCATGTCGATCCATGGGCTTGCACAGTCCATAAATGGCTGTGGGTCGTCTGCTTGTGCAAATAAAAGTTTGTATACACACGGACAGAGCTACGTAGCATCGTCTGGGCTCTCCTCCCTGCTTCTCTCATGTGGAAAAACCTCCAATAACATCTCAATCATAACAATAATGCTGTTCTCTTTACATATTCTATAAAGAAGGACAGCGTGTTTTAAAACAGGCGCCGGATCAAATCAGCAAATGTTACCGGTTGGATTTAATCAGGGAATAATTCCTGATGGATCATACTCATAAATGACATTTAGATTAAATGCAACTGTATATATTGAGTTTTATTTTAACTGAACAGTTAAATAATTCTACATTATATTTCTGTACAATTATCTTTACTGCCTTTTAAAGCTGCGGCGGGGTAGATGAGCCTTACATTTTCCACGGCACAGATTCTTGATAAATGATACAATTAACCGTTAAAAGACAGCAGGATGAGGTATTTTTATTGGTTAAAAAAGAACACTTCCTTTACATATTCAGGTCAAAATCAGCAAATAAATAAGAGGCACCAGTTCGTCCACAAGGGGGCGCCAAAATCAACGCAACCTGAAAGTTCCTCACAGGAGCTTTACATATGAGATACAAGTCTCTGAACATGTAAATACTTCATCTTGGTTGTTTGAATGCAAATATTTCATATATTATGAAATTACTACAACTTCATCTGTTTCTTTAAATCAAAAAAGAGAAATAGAAAAAGGAAAAATATGCATACCACTTTTGCTCACATAATATTTACAGTATTATTACAGCAATAGCACACATGCATGATTAAATTCACCAGTAGTATGATGCTCTACTAAAGGAACAACTTCTTAAAAACATCATGGTCAGACATGCCATACAACCTTAAATATGCACACATGCAAGTGCAGATGAATTTCAGAGTTGATATATCTGCACGCAGACCTCTAAACTTCCTCTTCTGTCCTGTTAGATTCAATATGACGCCATGTACACAAGTTTTTGCAAATACTTTTTAAACCCAAAATCCCAAATCCAGCTGTTTATCCTCCAAAGAGGAACAAAACAAAAGTATACTCACTGTGTAAAGGAAAAGGTCAGTTCTCTGCTGGCTACTACTTGAGCGTGTGGGATCGACTGAGGATGCTTGACTTAGTGTTTGTATATGCTAGGCGAGGACCTCCCTCTCCAAAAATGCCAGCTTAAAAGGAGCAGATGAGGAAGGATGACTTCACTAGTCTACAGAGAGGAGGAAGGAGGGAGGGAGGGAGGGAGGGAGGGAAATGATGGAGGTGTAGGAGAGAGAGAGAAGGGAAGAGGGGGAGAAAAAAAAGAAAGTTCATCCTTATATGGGCAATGGCCTTTCAGCAGCTCCCTCTCCCTGCCTGTGCGTCTCTTCCTCCTCACGTCCAGTTTTAAAGCCCGGCCTTATTTGGGTAGAGCTGCTCCATGTAGAGACAGCAGACAGGCAGCGTCGGTTTTGGTCAGCAGGAATTCTCCAAATACTTTCACCACATCGCTACTCATTTAAAGTGGGAACAAGGTGCAGAGGGAGATGATGGGGGCGGAGAGAAGGAGCAAGAGAGAGAGAGAGAGAGAGAGAGAGAGAGAGAGAGAGAGAGAGATGGAGCAAGAGGAGATGGCGCTCACAGAAATTGAGAAGGAGGCGATGAATGTGGAAAAGGGCAGTTAATGTTTTAAGCTCTCCCATTATAGGAGAAAAATGTGAAAAATGAGAGTCAGTACTCTCAAAGCTCTCAAGAATCTTTTGCCAACTTGATGCTTCTGTGAGTGAAATCATCCTGCTCCTGTCTGACATCAGATCCAGTCTCTATTAATCAGGCTGCCTGATTTATCCGGGGCCTTGATGCCATAATGAAGTTTAAAGCAACAATGTGTAACTTTTTCACCTTAAAATAATCGTTTCAAAGAACTGAAACTTTTAAAAGGCAGAAAAGCATCTCTCACAGATCGCCTCGACAGTTGCTTATAGCATGGAGGTTTAGCAGGAGGCCGCAGATCTCTCGCAAGAAGCAGGTACGTCTCTGTACTGTTTGACACAACAGCTGAGGCTAAGAGGAAGAGGACAGTGATGGATGAAGCTAAGATGAGCAAAAGAGAGAGTGACTGAGCGAGAAGCAGAGTGTACATCCCTGCAGATATTACTAACCAGTATGGTTTGAAGGGACTGTCTACTGTCAGATTGTGTAATTCGGAACAATTCGGAAGCACCAGTTGTCTATGTGGGCGAGGCTTGCAGTATTTTACTACGATGCAGTTGCACACAAAGACCTTCAGCAGATGCTAAAGCACAAAAAATCATACATATGGTTGCTTTAATTTGAATTTCTTAAGTTTAAACTACAGTGGGGAAGGATTGTTTGGAGGATTGATGTATTGGGTTAAGAGGAGAAGGAGAGGGAGATGAGAGGGAGAGGAGATGAGAGGAGAGGGAGAGGGAGAGGGAGAGGAGAGGAGAGGAGAGGGAGAGGGAGAGGAGAGGAGAGGGAGAGGGAGAGGGAGAGGGCGAGGGAGAGGAGTGGTCAAATTTTCCAGAGTTATTTGTTTGATTTCTAACAGTAAATCATCTTAAAAAAACTAAGTGACTTGGGAACATGTCGATGTGGTGTGTCAGCATGATGATTGTTCTGAATGAGTGCACTATAGAGTCCGCTACAGAGAACTCCATATGTAGGAAGGAGGGTGTGATTTCAAACACAACCATTGATCATCATCCGGGCAGAGAACTCCATTTAAGTCCAGGGTCCTCTTTGGCTTCAACCAGTGTGTGTGTGTGTGTGTGTGTGTGTGTGTGTGTGTGTGTGTGTGTGTGTGTGTGTGTGTGTGTGTGTGTGTGTGTGTGTGTGTGTTGTGTGTGTGTGTGTGTGTGTGTGTGTGTGTGTGTGTGTGTGTGTGTGTGTGTGTGTGTGCATTTTTTGGCAGCCGATTCTCATATAAATTCTGAGGTGGTTATTGTAACATTATTTTTCTGTAGTTATTATTTGACATGTCTGTCAGAGCTGCAGAGGGGTCCGGTCGGTGTCTGACAAATGAATGAACAGCTTTGGAATCATAAAAAAAAACATATTTCCATGTGACAATGATTCACAGTTACGACCCCAGCTCACAGGGGGAAAGGGAAGTAACTTGAAGAACCTGTTGTTGTGGGTGAAGTAAAGTAAATGATTAACAAAGAATTCAAATAGTGCAGCAATAACAAAACTGAGGCAAAGTGAAAGGGCCGACGAGTGCTGTTTAATCAATAAATATGTGTGTGTGTGTGTGTGTGTGTGTGTGTGTGTGTGTGTGTGTGTGTGTGTGCATGTGTGCAAAAATGTGTGGAGCATGTGTAAGCTGCAACATCATGTTTTTGTGTGTTTAACGGAAGGACCTTCACTCAATCCAGGTGTTGTTTATTGTAACATAAAAGGTGCTGGTTAACCTCACTGCAGTTCTGTCATTGGCAGCACATTACAGCCCGCTGTTATCATTCCCAGATGATGTCCAAGCCTCTGGTGTACCGATTTCCATTCATGGACTATGTGCATCGGTGTGTGTGTAAGAGTGTGTGTGTGTTTGTGTTTATGTGTGTGTGCGTGTGTGTTTGTGTGTGTGTTTGAGGGTGGGATGAGAAGTGCAGAGGAATATACAGTTGGTAGAGTCGGTCGTCTCTCAACTGGAAGGTCAGGGGTTGGATGCCCAGCTCCTGTAGCCACATGTCTGATGTGTCCTTGGGCAAGACACTTAACCCCAAGTTGCTCCCGCTGCTTCGTCAGTGGTGTATGAATGTGTATGAATGGGATGAGTTACTTCTGATGGACTCCTAACACAGCAACCTCTACCATCAGTGTGAATGGGTAGGTGTGACATGCGGTGTGAAAATGCTTTGCAAAAGAAAGAAGAAGAAAGTATCACACTATGACTGCACACTGTATTTGAAGTTGTTGTTTATTGACACAAACATTTAGAAATGCAAATACTCCCAAAGGTGTCACTTGATTTGTTCCTGCATTGCACAAAATTGTGTACCCATTTGTGTGCGTCTACATATATATGCACAAGTCTATGTGTGTTTACATTATTCTTGTTTTTCTCTGCTAAAAACTATGGGGCTTGTGGAAGGTTATTGCGGATTCTCAGAGCGCCAGGATGTTCATCTGCTATAGTAGTCATCAGTGCTGGGGTACACCATATAACCAGTGAAGATATTGTACTGCAGGTGGTCACAGAGCTTCCTCCCGGACATCAGCTCCATGTAGACCTGATCACCGTTCTGAAGATCAAGTATGGCAACCTGAAAAGAAAGCATGCAGGGTGAAAAGAGCTGTCAAGAAAATCCTGTCAAAGTCATAAGAAATTTGTGGCTCCATACATTTCAGACCTAACGTATATGTAGCAGCCCTCTGTGCAAAAAAATGTGTTTTTGCAAAACATAGATTATTTTCTGTGTTTACCTGAGTGGCACTGTCTTCTCCATCCTCTCGATTATTCTCCCACACACCGACCATATCGACCCCATTCTTTTTCATCTGGATCTAAAGATGCACGGAAATTAAAAGGTTAAGATACTTGCATTTGCTGGAGAGTAGATTGGGCAATCATAATGTGTCTTGAGTGTGGTTTTGAGTTTACTTGATGGTACAGGCGCTCCCCACTCCCCACAGACGAGTAGACCGTGAAGGAAAAGAGATAAACGCCAGAACGAGGAGCGGTGAAGGCACCTGGAGACGACCATGCACAGTTAGTGCAAATGCAGTGAAGTCATCTTTAATTAAAAAATGTGTGGTACAGCTAAAGTCCTTTAACTTTACTTCTTAAATGTTTGTTTTGTGTGTGTTTGTTTTTGATCCCTACCCAAGGAAGGGTTGTATCCGTTGCCGTCGTTAAGAGCGACTAAGGAGTACGGGATTGGCACGTCAGTGTTGAAGGGTCCAAAGCAGGGACCGAGCCTTGAGTCCATTGTAGCCTTGAAGGAAACCTTGTATCCCTCTGAGAGTGAGAGATTAATGTTTATGGTACAGTAAAGCAGTCTGAAGTCTACAACATCTAACCTCCATCACTGAAGGTTTTTCCGCAAGGCCAACAGAGTGGCAGCAGACGGCAGTTCAACCTAAGTCTGGTTCTGCTCAAAGGAAGTTTTCCCTGTCACTGTTACTCTGCTAAATGTGGCTTAGTGCTGTGCTCATGGTGGATTAATGAAGAGTCTCTGCTGATATAACAAAGAGTGCAGACCTGCTCTTTCTGTGAAGTGTCTTGAGATAACTTTTGTTAAGAGCTGGCGCTACACAAACAAAGATTGATGGGTTTGTTTACCTGTGAGCCCCATAACACTGTACTTCAGTTTGCTGATATCCTCCCACAAATATTTAACTTTTTCAAAGGTATAGTCCTCCAGAGCGTACAAATCATTGGCGCCACAGCAGCAGCTACGCTGGCGCTCGAAGGCACACTTGCAGTCCCACTTGTCACAGGCCAGAGGTGTGTCCAGTTTCACTGAAATGAGAGGGAGAAATGGTGACTGATCTGTTCTGTGACGAGGATGTTCAACAAGGAGGCCAAATATGTTTGACTTTGTCAGTTAATATCCAAATGTAGTTTTTGAAACTTGGTTCAGGAACATAGACCACGCCTCAAACACAACCCATTTCCATTTCATGCATATTTAAGCATGCCTTAATCATTCCTATTCTCTGACACTGATTTCACATCCCTCCTCCCCAAACCCCTCCGTGTTTCTTCACTTCTCTTTTTGTCTAAATAGAGGAACCATGGGGGTCCATACCAACAGCAACGAAGAGACGGCTCCCCCACCCTGAGTCTTGACCCCTCTGGTTTCCTCACATTGTACATTGTCTGACACTGGCCCATCGCCCTACTTCCATTCACTTCCCGACCCTTAAATCCATCCATTCAACGCTCTATCTTTACACTCATCCCACATCTCTTGACCCTTACCTCCATCTCTTCGTCCATCAACTCTTACCTCCCAACCTTCATCCCTCTACCTTTACCTTCATCCCTTCATTCAACAACTCCTACCCCATGCTACCGCCATCCCTCGACCCTTACCCTCATCCAGTCATCCCACATCTCTTAACCCTTACCTCCATCTCTTTGTCCATCAACTCTTATCTTCATCCCTGCATCCCTTCATCCCTCAATCCTTACCCTAATCTCTTTATCCCTCAAACTCTTACCCCATCCTACCTCCGACCCTCGACCCTTAGCTTCATCCCTTCCTCCCCTTCATCTATCTACACTCAATCTTCCGATCATCCAACTTCGCTCATCATTTCCATCTCCGCCATGCGTATTACAATAAACTTTCACATAGTTTACAATAAACATCACAGGAATGATCCTTGGCAGGTTGTGTTGCTCACATGCGGCCACTTTCATGATTTCATAGATGCTGGACTGGGCCTCCACATGGCCACAGAGAAACAGCGACCTCAGCAGGAACAAAGCTGGTAATACAAACATCTGAAAAAACAGAACGCAGTAATTAGTTATTCCACTTCCACTTGTTGTAACATCAACAGCAGTTTTAATGGTTAATTCGGCCTGTAGCACAATTAAATTACTTTACAATACTTTGGCAGTGGGTAACAGATGAAATGCAAAGAAAGCTACAAGCAGCCTGTTGTGGCCCAATAGTTCATTTTCGATGAATCCAGCGTCTGATAAGGCAAATAGCCAACTTTTGTGATTGGGAGTCGAACCTATAGGGTGGCTTATCAAGGAGGTTGGCTTATCAAGGAGGTTGGCAGACCACGCACCTTGCTACGCCCCCTTGGAGCATGTCTGCCGTCCAGCCCCGGGGGGTTGCAACGGGGTAAGAGCAGTTGTATAATTCGTCACAACTCAGCTCAATGTTAGTCCAACTCAACCCAATGTTTTCTGACCTCAAATGTGATGAATGGTGGAGTGTGACTGCGGTCGTTAACTGGATGATATAATGAAGACTGATTAAAGTATGTCAGTGTGTACAGAATTAGACTTGACTTTAAAACATTGTCATATATGTTTAAGTTTAGATGTATCATCAAACAAAATTTACGAAGCCACAACTTCTCTCGACCAATCATCCTGCTGCAGTCAAATGTTAAAATCTGTCCTCGGAACACACCATCAACCCCTTTAAGAGAAATTGCGACCCAAATTTTAGTTTTCTTTTTACCAATCAAATTAATTTAAGTAAAAACTTTGCAGATTTGACCTCAAATGGTACAAAATATGTAACAGAACAAAGAGACGGATCAAAACAAACAGGTTTATAAAGCACTTTATAGATGTTTTGACACCATTTTTTTTCCAAGCATACATATGCGACCCACTGAAAACAGCTCTGTGACCCACTTTTGGGTCCCGACCCACCAGTTGAGTATCACTGGTCTAGACTCCATCAGGTGGTGGTATCACCACCACCACCGCAGCGTGGTCTAGACTCAATATATTCTATATTTACCGGTATTTCTATATTTCCTACTGCTTTATTGTGTTAAACAGCAACTGTAACAACCAAATTTCCCTCTGGGATTAATCAAATATTTCTGATTCTGATAATCTAACATTAATGATTTTTAAAAAATTAAATAGTCTCAACACTCCACCGATTTATGTCTCACAAAACTATAGTGGATCAATTTAAACCAATTAATGAGCAGAAATAAATGCAAGAGAAGAGACATGGCCAATAAAAATAGAATTACTCTATCTTAAGGTGCCTTAACGACAGCGTTAGTGCATTTAAGACCAATTTTGGTTCCATTGGTTCCATTTTTTAAACAATGAAATTGGTGATTGATGAAATAAGTAAATAAAAACTTACTATTTTACGTTCCCTCTTCTTGTTCTGAAGGAAGACACCAAGTTCTTCAGCGTTTGTGAAACTGAGAGTAGGAGTAATACACAGTGGGATGTTTGAGTGTCTTAGCAGTACAGGTGATCCTCCCCATGACGAGGTAAATCTCAGAAGCTCCGCCTCCTTTTGTGCACTCAAACACAGACACACACACACACACACACACACATACACACTGAAAACCTGCATGAACACACGTTTCACAGGACAACACTGTCACTCCAAAAGAGGTTTGCACATCAGTGTCAAAGGGCCTCACATCGTTTTTCTACAGTGTAAAAGAACAAAAATCAATCACGCTGGAACTCCCTGCGCCCATTGTTGGGACCATAATGCTCCTTATTGGGACAGCGGTGTCTGGTTGCCACTCTTTCAGAGGACACCAGCTACTGAAATACTGATATGGAGATCATTGGGGTCAGGTCCCTGAGGATGTAATGGTCAACAAACAAGACAACAAAAAGAGCTAACAGGAAATGTTATCAGTCCATCGATTCAGGCCTACATCGGGGGACAATGTAAAACGCTGCCTGGTTCTCATGCTGCGATAGAAGGAAGAGAGAAGTGATACTGTGTGTTCCCATAACTACTTTCCCCTTGGATGTTGTTGGAAGCCGTATTGATTCTGGTTTGTTATGGGTTTCTCTATAGCCCTGTTCCCACCAAGCAGTTCGATTTGGTTCAACAGTTTGGTACAGTTCAGTTCGGTAAACCCTGAACTTACTTGCATTTCCACAGCCAACCGTACCCTTATTTGGTAAGCGGAGTGTAAGCATGATGGAGTTAGTCGCATCAGCTATGTAATAGTGTGACATAGCAGCCCAACAAAGTGTAGCCCGCTATTAATTAAGTTCAACAAAGAAGAACAGGGACGCAGTAAACAAAAGGGACCCTTTAGGGTTGGATCGGTACCCTTTTCACCCCAACATAAGGGTACCAACAAAGTAGAACGGTACGATCCCTTCTTTTGGTACCATTCCCAACTTTTGACAGTGGAAATGCCAATAAATGGGTACTATACCAAACCGAACTGATCTGAACTGATTGTTTGTAACCTGAATTTTCACAGGCGTTTGTTACCGTCCTCGTTGTTCCACTAAAGTCCTATTAGATAACAGGGTGTTTCCTGTGTTCACAGCTATCTTTAAAGACTTGTTGGCCTCTGGGGCTGTGCATTGTCTGTGGGTTTTTCTTTGACCACCTGCTTGTTTAGAATCCCACGTCAGCTGGCCTGGTTCTTAAGAATTGTCTTATCTTCTAGAAGGAGGGCAGGGTGTATCTGGTGTTTTCATATCTGCTTTCAAACATCTCTTCAAACACAGACCAGTCCTGGAGAAGATTCACCTGCACAGTAGCGTGATGGGATGGACTGTGCCCTGACCTCAGATGTGATTTCAATCCCGAGCATTGAGTTACAGCATAATGGTGTGAAATATAGTCTCAGTTTTTTTTCTGAGATTCTTTGATGCAGAGGTCGAAAAGATTCTCATTGATGCTTGGTCTATTTTTCAGCTGACCTACAAAAACAAGTTAATAAACAAACCATCCTCAAGCTAGTCATATTTCTGTTAATGAACTGGCATCCCTGTGATTCTTTGGTTGTTTTGTCTTAATGTATGTGTGCATGTCTTTGTCCATTGAGAAAATAAAGATACTGTTTTGGGAACAATGAACGAACATTTTATAAAGAATCCTTGGAAAATTCAGGAGGCCGTCTAGCTGCACAGCGTCGGGGTCCATTTTGATGAAAGAAATATCTCAAATCCATCAGAGGAGCAAAACCTCAGAGGTTGATGATGGATAACCGCAGAATTCAGAAAGAAGAGGCTCAGCAGTTATTATGTGATCTCCTCATGACTTGTTACTCAGGTACTCAATGAAAGCTCTTTAGGACTGTAAGCTATAACATGCACAGTTTTTAATAGATACGCCCATAATGTATTTACATTTTCAGTAATTTTCACATTTTGAGATGAAGCATGATGATTTGGTGGAGCAGTCAGGTCATTTTGGGGGGTCATCGCCCCACCCTGCTCATGCCTAGAGTCCAAGTCGTTGTGAATGCTTATACTTGCAATTCCAATAAATTGACGGCATGCATTGGCAACCCTGTGACAAAATGGGTCTATATGCTAACAGTCAGGGGCGGTCTCCAGGATTTATGGGCCCCGTGAAAATAAATCAAATTTGGCCCATTGACGCTATCTGCAAAAATCAGAGACTGTTCTTCTTGAGAAACCTGAGGAGTTTTAATGTTGACAAATCTCTTCTAGAAAGATTTTATTCCTCTTGTATGGAGTCCATTTTAACTTTTGTGATGATCTGTTGGTTTGGTCATGTTTTACAATTTAGAGCCAATCAGGAG